CTTCAAAAAATTCTCACGCCCAAGGGAATCGCGTAGGTTTCAAGTATCGACCCTTCTGCTGAGGCCAACGGCGAAGAACCGGAGGTTCAGATGGGACGGTCGTCAGTGCACATGGACAGGTCCTCGAACGTTCGTCAGTGCACATGGACAGGTCGAGAAAATTTCCGTTGACCTTGGAACCTTCACCTGTTGAGATGGCAAGCACTCCTTCACCCCGGACTTGTTTTGTTTTTAGATGCACCCCGGTCTTGTAGTAGTAGTACATTCGAACGGGACATATATAACCGAGCTGGACTTTTTTGGACAGTAAACGGTAGAAAATTCCTGCTGCACTTATTTTTGTATTTTTTTTTGTATACAAGCAATTAAAAGGAAGAAAAGAACAAAGAAAACAAGAATAAGAAAGACAAAACCATGTCTTCAAACCTTCTTCTAAAGCTATTGACCAAAAGCTTTCAATTAGTGGTATTTTTTTTAACGAGGAAGGGAGGAGCCCTGCCGATTTCATTTAGATAGGAAAAAGAGTTTATCTGGTTTATAAGAAAAACTATATCGAAAACCAACAAACAAAAAGAATAGGAAAGAAAAAACAACCACTAAAACCAAAGCAAAAAGAACACCACCACCTAATCGCTATTTTACCCCAAAGCGATTGTGAGCAAGATCTTCAGAAACGCCTTCAAGAAAGGAAACAACGTCCAAGAAACACCGTTGTCACCGGCATCCACCCTCGCCGATCAAAAGGCTTTCGCATAGTACCGCACACAACCTTCTCATCAAACTTGGGATGGGTCCGACCTAGCCCACAACCTCCAATCGCAACTTCCCTACTGATTGACTGCGACCAAATGAGAAGAAGTATTTCTCGACGATGCCACCATGAAGCATCACCGACAACGACCCCGTCAAAGAACAAGGCTTTCGCCTAGAGCCTTATGCCTCGCCACCTCTTGCCCTAGGAAGGAGCCGGGTTGTTGTGAATCGAATTCAACAACAGTGAACCGGGTCTATCTTTTCTTATCATTGATTGCAATTGGTCTATCTTTTTTATCAGAGGTTGAGTCGATCATCAGAAGAATAATTAGGCCAAAAATGAGGATAAGTTTTGAAGAAAAATAAAAGTTGCAATGAAGAGAAGCAAATGAAACATTTTTATAAAAATTCTTGTTAAGTCGAGAATGAAGTTTTCATTCTGTACATGTGAATTATTAGTAAGTACTCCCTCCGTTCTAAGGTAAGTGACTCAACTTTGTACTAATTTTAGTATGAAGTTTTTTTTTAAAACGGAGGCAAAAGATTTGCCTTGTCCAATAATTAAGCAGAAGAGAATTGCCCAATTAATTAATGGAAACTGGATGAAAACCGTCACAATTCATTGAGCGGCACACATAGAATACCTCATACACCCCTTTCTAAAGAGGGCCTCGTCGAGCTAGCACACTCGTGTCATCGTCATCACTTCTTCTCAAGCGGCGTCATCGGCATCTCTAATTCCGGAGCAAACGACTCTGACTTCACCGTAGAGGTCATGTGGAGACAATGAAGCTCCGCGCAAAACTCGGCCACCCGCGTCGAGGACGGCGCAGCTCCGACTCTGACAGAGAGCTACGAAAAAGTAATATGCAAAGTTGGCGCCGTGAAAGATCGTCGAACAGACCACCTGCTTCTCGTCATCGTTGCCACAGAGGGCCCTCCTCCGCAGCTCCGACTTCACAGCAACAAACAGACCAAGGCAATCCCATGAACACGCCGAAGGAGAGCCGACTAATGCAACCATTGACGTGCCTCCGACCTCGCTCACTGCCGCCATCGTTGCCACAGAAGCCTCGCCGCCAACTCACCACTCTGGCGCACCTACCACTAGTCCGGTAGTCCCTCCAACTGATCCCCACCTCCAAAGACGAAGCCATGAAGAGGTGCACGGCACAAGACACCGCCATCGTCTGATCCATGAATACACGGATCTTAGGTTTCCCTCGGAGAAAGGGTCGGTACGGAGATGAGCACTCACCACGGCAATACCTTCAAGAAGGTCACGACGCACACTAGCGCCGCCGTTGCCGGCTCCGGCCAAAACCAGAGTCAAAGTTTTCGCCCGGTGTAGTTGCACAACGCCCTGATCAAACCAGCTGAACCTCCTGCAATGCATCACCACCCGCAGATCAGCTTGTCGATAAAGAACAGATAGGAGCCGCCGCAGCCAGCCTCACTGTGCGGATGCCGCAAGCGTCCAGCCATCGAATCCAGCCGCCAAGCCAGATCCGACCACGGCTGGCCGGATCCAAGGCCTCCCATCGCAGATTGAGCCACCGTAGTTTGCCACCACCAAGCCGTCGTAGGCTGCAGTGGAGCAACGCCCGAAGCCATATCCAGCCATGCCGCAGCACGCACCTGCGCCAACGCACGCCGGACGAGAAAATGCGCCCCTCGCGCCCGCGCCCCGCCACTCCTCTGTTGTCGTGTGGTTCCTCGTGGCGGACGCCTCGCCGTGCCGCCCAGCGGCCAGGTCCGAGCCGCCCCGGGCCGTCTCGCACCTTGCCCATGACGCACCACCCTTGGGCCTCCACGCCGTGCGCCACCCAGAGCCTTCACACCACACGCCCATGCCTTCCCGAGACCCTCCGCCGGCAGCAGTTGCCGACGCCAGCCCACATCTGCCTCGGGGAAGAAAGCCCAGCCGATGAAGCTCGCAGCCGAGCTCACCGGATCCGACGCGACTGCGCCACAGAAACAACCCCGCCGCCCGGACTTTGCTCGATGACGCCCTCCGACGACGGCAAGGGGAGGTGGGGAGGTCCGCCGACGATTGGATCTGGGCGCCCCGGTGCGGCCGCAGGAGCCGCACGATGGTGATTTTAATACAAAGTTGAGTCATTTATTTAAAATGAAGGAAATACTCACTCCGTCTCAGCTGGCCTTTGTTCATAGGAATGGATTCCTATTCCTACATAGGATTGATTCCTATCCTCCATATTTCATAGGAAAATAAAAAAAAGCCTAGACTCAATGGAAAATTCATTTGGTGTCAACCAAATGACATCTTGTTTCCTATTTCTATTTATAGAATTTGAGATACATGTCATCTCATTTCCTACAAGATTCCTATTACTATGATAATCCTATCCTATCCTATGAAGCAAAAAAGGCCTTATTTTGAGACGAAGGGAATAGTACAGTAGCTTAGACCGGGAAAGAGATTGCGAGCTCAAAGGTGGAAGTTTCACCGGTAAACAACCCACGTCGCGCAGACGAGCGCGCGGCACGGCCACTCCTACACGAATCAGTTTCCCCTGCTAGTAGACTACAATGATCAAAGGTGATTTGACCAGAGAATCGTTAATATATACTGGCATAAAGCGACAAGGCGCCACCGGGCCAGTGCTCAGCCAGAGGCCTTATTCGATTCTCTGATTCTCATATATTGGAAAAACTGGTGTCCAATCCAATCGAATCCTTGGCGGCCGTCCCAGTTACAGTATCTTCTTGGTTTTACTCTACTGGAAAAACAATTAATCTACTCGTCTTCATGGAGCTCGGTCAGGGACTCAGAGTCATTCTTTTTTCCACATACTTTTCTCTGCAACGGAGATGGAATCCACCGTGACAGTGTGGCGCGCACATCGATTCCCCGCACTTAATAAAATCCAGGCACATTGTTACCACATAGGTTGCGATAGCAGCCGGTGTACGTCAGACGCGTCGCCGAGCACGCTAATAGCCAAGGGAACCGGATCCTCTAATATAGAAAAGGAAAGTCACAATGCTACAGTCCTAACCTAGTGTAAAATGAAAAAGGGAAGTTAGAAAAGGTTAGTAGGTATTAGCAGGTTGTTTACTATTGATATTTACTGTAGATATAAATAATTTAAAATTAATTTTATTTCACCATCAACTTATTTGTGTGTAATTACTATAAATGTACACACTAGATTATCAATTTGCAAATTAATTTAAGTCGTTTTAGGCTCAACCATATGAATAGAAAAAAAAAGTTAATGTATTGTAACTTCTCTAACTTCCCTTCTCAATGTTAGAGTATCCGGTTCCATAGCCAAGGTGTTTGTCTACTCCGGCTGCGCATTCCGAAACTGGCCGGATCGGCACGCAGGCACGCACGCATGTTTCTCTCGTGAGGCGACGGTTTTGGCACGTACGCACGCTCGGTTCTGAAGCAGTTTCTAGACACGGGGAAACAGTACCCGCCGATCCGTGATCGCTCGACGGGTATCTTCCCGACTGTTGATCGTACGGCGACGGGCACAGGCTCCATGTCCAGTCTCGCTCGCTCTGCATGCACGGCGGGCGGCGACCACTGGCCAGTGAAGCGTCACCTTTACCTAATTACATTTATCGCGCCTCACGTCGGTAATACTCTGTTCGGACGGTAATAATGCAGAGACGGTTTAAAAAGAGCGGACAGGACGGAGAGTACTACCCTGTTCGGACGGTAATAATGCAAACACGTGCCCGATTTACACATGACCCCACCGAGAATTAGTATTTTAACACGACTCCGCCCCCGGTCTGTTTCCTGCGAAATAATGCAGAGACGATCCATCACGAGGGGATAGCAGGCAGCAGCGCGGAAGCGACACAAAAGCGGACGAGATAAAGAGATCGCAGTAGAATCCAGTAGCTTGGCGACGAGACACTTACGCCATTACAGTACCACAAGATCGGGTTAACTTCGACCGTCCCAAAGTTTCAACGGGCAGCCGGCGGATCACGATGAGCACAGGGGAACACGTGACGTCCCGTCGGTGCCGTTCGCACGTGATGGCGCCAATTAGCGCGGCCAGCCTCCGTTGATTAATCGACTAATCATAATCACCGTCTCGTCAGACTGTAAACCAAGAGCTCCGGTAAAATATCCTCGTGTCCTTCCCTCAAGCCCCTATTAATAAACCCTCACGCTCTTGAGCGGCTGCACACACGCGCGCGCGCACGCACACGCAAGAGACCGCCAGAGCCCAGCGCAGAAGCAAGCAAGCGAGATCGAGATGAAGGTGGAGGTGGTGGACACGACGCTGGTGGCGCCGAGCGAGCCGACGCCGCGGCACACGCTGTGGCTCTCCAACCTCGACCTCGCCGTGCCCAAGACGCACACGCCGCTCGTCTACTACTACCCGGCGCCGCCCCCCGCCGGCGACGGCGACGGCGACGGCGAGAAGGAGGAGGGGTTCTTCGCGCCGGAGAGGCTGCGGGAGGCGCTGGCGAGGGCGCTGGTGCCCTTCTACCCGCTGGCGGGGCGGATGGCGACGGGGCCCGAGGGGCGGCTGGAGATCGACTGCAACGGCGAGGGCGCGCTGTTCGTCGTCGCGCGGGCCGACTTCACCGGCGACGAGATGTTCCGGGACTTCGAGCCCTCCCCGGAGGCGCGCCGCCTGCTCGTCCCCTTCGCCGCCTCCGGCGACCCGCCCTGCCTCCTCGCCATGGTCCAGGTACGGACGGCACCGGACCCAATTTAATCGCCCCGCAGTATTTTCTCTCCCGTTTATTTTCGCGCGCGCGCCGGTGGAAACTCGGGGAGGTGCTCTGTACGTACGCCGACTGACTGTTCGCCCTCGCTGTCGCGTGGGGCCCCGACACCCAGGCCCCACCTCGACAGTGAGGCGTACTAAGCTCCCAGACAGTCGTGCGACGCAGTTACCGGATGTTGGATCGAAACCATAATCTTTCTTCTTCCGAGGACCTACATATTGTTTTATCTGCGAGGTTTAAGAAATGCTAGTAGCGTGGAATCTATCTATCTATCTCCATCTGCATAAAGAAATAGTAGAAATAATTAGTAAAATGATTCCCCCCCAAAAAATTTATTAAAATGATAGAACCGGATGCTGGCTTTCTTGGACGGATTGGCAGTCTGGTACGCGAGCATCCTTGGAAATCTTTGCATGACGTGTGCGTGCATCTTATTTTATTTATTTACTGTAGTATTTAGTCGTCGTTGATCGGAGAGAAAGATTACTTGAGCTCGTGGCTATGGCGTGTGATTCACTGTGGCTTGTACTAGGTGCCAATAATTTTGCTAAAGGTGAGCGATGAATGCTTGGGGGGTGCGCTGCCGCCGCGTACGTGTTGGCGTGGCGGTTTGCACGAACTCGGCCAGCCACGGTAGGGGCGGCCTAGCTAGGGAAGTCAATAGTACTCCCATCAATTATGGGCGGGTGGCACTCCCGGGACGGATGAAGCAGATGACGCGCGACTTTGGATCGAGCCGTGTCTCGTGGCAACGACGACAAAACCGGGGGGACAGGGCCACAGGGGATGATCTCATCTCATCTCATCTCGCTTGGTTGGAGTTGCGAACCAACGGCGGCTTGGACAGTATAGCAGCGTCTGCTTTGGCGTTCATAGACCATTTTCAGTGATGAAATTTCTACTAGCTAGCTAGCTAGAAATCGTATCATGTGCTGTAGTTGACTTCACGATCGAACCCAACCTTTTCTTCTGGTCAGGGAGTGCACTGTGGCACGCACAGGACGGCTCACTGATTGCCGGCGCGTGAACGTAACCAACAGTCAGTCCACCGGTGAGGTGAGATGACTAGTGACTAGTAGGACACGTCTTGGAAGTAGCGGTACTCCAAGGAAGCTCACTGATGTGCATAATCAATTCCCCGAGCGAAAAACTCGGGGCTTCTGATCTTGACTGTCGCGGTACTCCGCTCGTCGTCGTTGTCTTGCCAAGCACTCCAGTCCAGAAGCCGCGCCGGGAGCGACACGGCGCGCAGGTGGTCCAGCAGGGGGCATGGGCGCCTGCGCGCCGCGTCCACAATTTTGGCGCCGGGTTCAGTGTCCCAGTGTCGTGCTGGCCTAGCCTCCGGTGACATGTTTCTTTCACCGTCAAGATTCATTCATTTCGAGGCACAAGACGAATGAAGAAGAGTCGTAGAGGAGGCCTTGCTTTGCACATTTACGATCATCTCCTACAAATTTTCTTTGTGCTAATCTGTCAGTTATAGTACAGAAACGGGACCCCAGGAAAATCTTATCTAGTCCTAGTCATCTAGATGATCCGTTGTCCTTGCAAGTCCGTGGGATCCATCCACGACCTCATCATTCAGCCCAGCTCATTTCTCATTTCAGGCTTATTTGATCGTCCAAGTCTTATCTTTCTCCGGATCTGGCCACGAGATGTGCCTCCTTTGTGCCTATCCGCATACAGCGACCACTTGCCGCAGCTGCATTTGATCTGAATCGTTGAGGTGGACGTCGAACGCGACGGCTCTGCTTTCGGCTTTAGCTTCCCCGAAAAGCGCCGCATAGTTACCACTTAGCCGGAGGCGTCGCTTGCTTCTCCGATCACTCGATCAGGAGGGTGCGCCTGCCGACGTGCCCACATGGAAACCATATCTTCCTTCTAGATGGCTTCGTTACTAGACGGTGACATGTAACATTAATCTACTGGTAGTTATCGGTTGCCTGCATGACGGATAGGGACTGCAACGAGGCTCCGCGATAGCTGCCTGGAAGCTGGCTGATTCTCATCGACATGATCAATCTTTTTGTGTTTTATAAAAGTCTGCAGTTATGGCCTGGTTGCTGTCGTGATACCGCCGAAGGCTCCATCGTCGCTGTTGACAATTTGGACAGAGAGTGAGTAGTCGCCGTCGTATTACAGTACACTATTATTGGCGCGTGTGTCAAGCAGGCGAACCATGCTAGTATTTGAGTATGGTTATCGCGTGACGTCGATCAGAGATTTTATACAGTAGAAAAGTTCAGAGCTGGGCGGCTGCACGGTGTTTGAGCAGAGGAACAAAGAGATCGATGACGTGAATGGGAACAAGGATATCAATGATCGTGCCATGTCTTACGGTTATTATACTGGACGCAAAATGTAACCCGTGGGTTTGGTCTTGCAGGTGACGTTCCTCAAGTGCGGCGGCGTGGCCGTGGGCACGGGCATGCACCACGTGACCATGGACGGCGCGGGCGCGATCCAGTTCATCCGGACGTGGACGACCCTGGCGCGCGGGCTGGACGCCGCGTCCGTGCACCCGACCCCGCCGGTGCACGACCGCACGGTGCTGCGCGCGCGCTCCCCCCCGCACGCCACCTTCGAGCACCCGGTCTACTCCCCGAGCAACCTCAACGGCCTGCCCCGCCCCTTCGTCACCCGCGTCTACGCCGTGTCCCCCAAGCTCCTCGCCGGCATCAAGTCCAGCTGCGCGCCCGGCGTGTCCACCTACTGCGCGCTGACCGCGCACCTGTGGCGCGCCATGTGCGTGGCCCGCGGGCTGGCCCCCGACGCCGAGTCGCGGCTGCGCGTGCCGGCCAACATCCGGCAGCGCCTGCGCCCGCCGCTGCCGGCCAACTACTTCGGCAACGCCATCGTGCGGGACCTGGTGACGGTGCGCGTGGGGGACGTGCTGTCGCAGCCGCTGGGGTTCGTGGCGGAGCGGATCAAGCGCGCGGTGGCGCGGGTGGACGACGCCTTCGTGCGCTCCGTCATCGACTACCTGGAGGTGGAGTCGGAGAAGGGCAGCCAGGCGGCGCGCGGGCAGTTCATGCCGGAGACGGACCTGTGGGTGGTGAGCTGGCTGGGCATGCCCATCCACGACGCCGACTTCGGCTGGGGCTGCCCCAAGTTCGTCGCGCCGGCGCAGATGTTCGGCAGCGGCACGGCCTACGTCACGCAGGCGCCCGACAAGGACGACGGCGTGTCCGTGCTGTTCGCGCTCGAGCCAGAGTACCTGCAGTGCTTCGAGAAGGCCTTCTACGGGGAGTGACCGACCAAAGCCTTGTACGGTGATGCGCCTTTCAAAGAGCACCAAGAGCCGCCTGGGAGTTGGGATCTCGAGTCCGTCGTGTGGAGTGCCGTCCATGTGCTGTATCATAACGCAACAGATGCTGTGGAAGTGTCGAGGTTGCTGCTTGTTTCTCGCGCCTTTCTTCACTACTACTATGTGACATTCTGGGCTAACTATTATCTATACAAAGTCTGAATGAAAATGGCCTCAGGTTTGGCTCTCAACTCATTTGTATTTGTAATCCAAGGAACGCCCGTCACCATCGTCTGCACAAAAGGAGCAATGCTATTATTGACACACAAGTGCTACACTTTCGACACATCAGCCCGTAGCTTAATTGCGTATGAGTAGGTTTAGCATTTCTGTTATCTGGACTACCAATTGATCTATGCATAATAGATACATTTATTATACTTGAAGAAAAAAGAGAGGCAAATAGCATGCTTAGTTCATGTAAACATGCTGACAAAGAATGTAAAGGTCCCGTCTCACTCTCTACTTCGTCCAACCTCTCTAGAGTGAATAGCAAAAAACTACCACATTACGGGCTATCGTTCCGGAAAACTACTGCTTTTTTTAATTTTTCAAAAAACTACCACAAAAGTGGCTGGCTGTTCCAAAAAACCCAAGTGGCCGAACGGTTAAGATTTAACTGGGGTTATGACATGTGGGGCCCGCCCGTCAGGGTTTTGTCGGCCACAGTGCTCACGGCGCGCGGGTGACGGCCGTTAGGGCGCACGGGCCATCCCGACCAGGTCAAACGGATCCGGCCCGCCCTCACTCTGTCTTCCCCCTCTCTGTCTCCCTCTCTCTCGTGCGCGCCTCCCTCTCCGATGGCGGCGGCGGCGGCGAAACTAGGCGATGGCGGCCATTCAACGGGTGGAGGTGGAAGGGGGGATGGAGGCGGCGAGTTCTCAGAGGTTGATAACTGGCTGGGGAGCGGTAGCTTCGCAACCCAGCCGGCGGCGCCGCCGCCGCCGCAGCGGACACCACAGGCTGCAGCTCTGATGCAGGCTCCTACGACACAGGCTACACCGCCGTCGCCTGATGATTGCCAGTTCTCACTTGAGTACAGAGCAGCGAGGTCTCTTGCTAGGGCTATGCATGCAGATCCGGCCAACTCCCAGCACTGGGCCTCTGCATTTGGAGGGGTGAAGTAAGTTTTTTTCCTCTTATGAGCTCCTTCAACAGTTTCTGCATTTCTGCTTGTTCATTTCAAACAACATAGCATAATTTAGTTAGTTTTTTGACCAAACCCTAGGTTGATGCTGCTGTGATTCATCTTAGAACATGAATATGCACTGAATAATAGTTGAGCAAACACTCTGTGGCATGTTTTGGATGCAACAGTATCACTTAGCACTGAAGGATTAGTTAGATTTAGTAGAAATGCATGGTGGATTCAGAGAAGCATTTGTTGGATTCAGATTCCTTACTGTACTTTATAGTAGTGTGCACTGAATTTTTGTAGCAAAAAACACTTACTTAGTTGGGCTTTTCAAATAACATATTATGTAATGCAGGCTGGATGATGAAATTTGGGATGTTAGGCTGCATTTCCAGGGCAGAGATAATATGGAAAGGAGATTTTCTGTTTCAGACATCACATTTCTGAACTTGATAGCACTTACTGAGACTGAAGGCTATGGGTCAGATGACTACATGTACTGGGTAAAAGAACAAGGGATTGGACAGGAAGGTTTATTTCTTCTGGACAGTCAAGATGCAGTTGAAGAAATGATAGACCACCCAGATTTCACAGTGCTCAATATCATTGTTTCCAAGGCAAATGAAGATAGAGATGTTGAATGTAACAGGGCTCACAATGTTTGTGAAGAACAAATTCCAATAGGCAGTCTAGTGGGGGGGGGGTCCTGGTTTTGTGTTAAGTCTGTCACAAGATGGAGTGGTCCACCCTCTTGAAGTTAATTTGAACACACAGCAAAGTTGTAACTTCAACATTTCAGAAGCTAATGATGGAGATGATGATGGGCAGGCTGCTAGTCAAGAGGATGATGATATTGACAAATCATCCTCAGACTTTGAGATTGATAGGGGTGACTATAGAGGGATAAAGATGTCTTACAAGGCTTGGAAGAGAGGTGAAGAAAATATTGGAAATGAAGAAGAAAGAGATGCTATAGAAGACAGACAACAGTTTGAAGGTGACAGTGATGTTTCAGAGTTTTGGCAGGAGGAGAAAGAGGCAGACAGTGGAGAGGAAATAGTTGTGGAAAAATGCAGGCCTGAGAAACTCAAGCCTGTGAGAAGAGCAGCAGCAAATCCAGGTCCAACTTCCAGAGCTCACAGTCAGCCAGAGATCCCAAAGTTTCAAGATTTTGTACCTGAAGCTGATGAGTATTGCTTCCCTGGTGATGTGGGCATTTCTGACTCAGATGGGGAGACTCCAAGACTACCTTCTGGAAGGAAGAGAAGATTGAAGAAGAAGAAAGAGAGGAAATGGTATGACCCAAAGGTACCTGATGCACATGAGCAGTTGTGCAAGGACCTTTGCTTCACCAATGTGTATGAGTTTAGAAAGGCATTGAGAAATTTTCATGTTAGGACTTTGAGAAACTTTCAGTACCATAGGAATGAACCATCAAGGGTTATTGTTTGGTGCCCAAAGAGGAAGAATGGATGTGATTTTTTCATGACTGCATCCAAAGTAGCCCATGAAGATACATTCACAATCAAGAAGTGCCACATGGATCATAGTTGTGGAGCTTGTGGAGAGAGTACAAAGGTTACTGTTGAATGGGCTGCAGAAGCTATGGAGGACACAGTTAGATCAAATGTAAAGGCTGATGTAGAGACAGTTCTCAAACATACTAAGAAGAAGTTTGGGGTGCATGTACCTAGGAGTTTGGCATATAGGGCAAGACTGATGGCTGTTGATGTTGTGCAAGGTGATCATAGAAAGCAGTATCTGAGGTTGAGGGACTACCTACAATGTGTGCTTGACACAAACCCTGGAAGCAGGTGTATAGTGACAACTTTTGAGGATCCTTTGAACCCAGCCCCCACACCAAGGTTCAAGTACATGTTCTATTGCCTCCAGGCATCAAAAGATGGATTTCTTGCTAGTTGTAGGCCTTTCATAGGTACAAATCAGTGATTTAATCATGTTACAAATGTAATCAAGTTATTCAATTTTGCCCTAACTATCTCTGTTTATGCAGGACTTGATGGTTGCTTCATCAAGTTATCCACAGGCCAGCAGATATTGGCAGCAACTGGGAGAGATGGGAACAACAATGTGTTCCCAATTGCTTTTGGGGTGGTTGACAAAGAGGATGGGCCTAGCTGGACCTGGTTTTTAAACCAACTTAGAGTCTGCATTGGCACCAGCAACCAGTTTGGGAACTACACCATCATGTCTGACAGGCAGAAGGTATTTTCTCTGACTCTGTATTATTCTTATGCACATAGCAATGCTGCTATAGTTATCTCATTACTACCTTATGTAATCAAACAACAGGGCCTTCTTAAAGCAATTAATGAAGTATTTCCTCAATCCCCACAAAGATATTGCCTAAGACACATATATGCCAACTTCCAGTCAGCTGGCTTTAGAGCAGAAGAACTTAAGAAATGGGTTGACAAAGCTAGCTATTCCTTCACTGAACATGGTCACAAAGAAGGAATGGCAGGTTTGAAAGCAGCATGCGAACCAGCCTACATGTGGTTGAATGGCATCCCTAAGGAGTGTTGGGCTAGATATGCAATGGATCATGTGTGCAAGACTGACTTGGTAGTGAACAACCTTAGTGAGGTTTTCAACAAAATGATTCTAGATGTTAGGTCAAAACCAATTAAGACCATGTTTGAAGGGTTGAGGACCAAACTAATGGTTAAGTATCAGGGCATCAGAGAGAAAACAGAGAGCTGTAGGTGGGAAATAACCCCACATTACATGGAGAAGCTTGAGGAGAGCAAGAAGTGGGCTAAATACTGTGAAGCAAACATGGCTGGTCCCAACATCTGTCAAGTAACTAGTGGAGAGAACACATACTGTGTGAAGCTTGATGTAGGGAGCTGCTCTTGCAGGAGGTGGGACATGACTGGATCACCTTGCCACCATGCAATATCTGCAATGCAGAAGATAAAAGTTCACCCAGAAGATTATGTGCATCCATTCTTTAAGAAGCCAATGTATAAGGCTGCATACCAGCACATCATCTACCCTGTCCCTGGCCCTGAATTCTGGCCCAACACCAACACACCAGACATAGAACCACCAGTTTTTAGGGAGAAGAAAGGCAAGAAGCAGACAACTAGGAGAAAGGGTGAATTTGAGGTGCCAGCTCCAAAGGATACATCAAGGATGGGCACAATAACATGCAGTAACTGTGGTCTGCAAGGCCACAGGTGGACAATGTGTGGAGACAGACTTAAGGCCAAGTTTATGACAAGGAAAAACAACCACCAGGCCACATCATCAGGTCTAGCTCCAGCTTCAGGTCCAGCTCCAGCTTCAGGTCCTGCTCCAGCTTTAGGACCACTTAGGGGCAGGAAACTAGCAACAGCTTCAACAAGGTCAACCACATCTGCTACAACAAGGGCAACCACATCTACTGCAGTTTCAACAGGTGGATCAAGAAAGAGAAAGAACCCACCACCTACTTCAGCACCAGCCAACAACACCAGGTCAAGTGCATCATCTCCAGCAAAGAACACCAGGTCAAGTGCAAGAGGTTTCAATGCTCCAAGGGCAGCATCAACATCAGGTCAAGCTGATGTTGGTTCTAAGAGGAAGAGGAAGGCCCCAAGCAAACTTGCTTTGTATTTCACAGCTAGTGGCAGCCATTGAATGTGTTGCACTCAACTATGCTTTATGCCTTGAACTCTGCTTGTTAGGCATGCTTGTTATCTGTGTTATTTGCAGTGAACTCTGTTTTCATTTGAACAATTAAGTTATATGGTCTATGTATGAACTGCTTGGAACAATTAAGTTATATGGTCTGTGTTTGAACTGC